AGTAAAATAATATAGAAGCTAATGGAAATGTTATTTAAAAATTAGAAAAGAAAACAAAAAACGAAACGGGCATTAAAAAAATGCTCATCTTTAAAACAACTACTTCCATCAACAAATAAATTTAAATCAAAGTAGTTGAGTAATTTATGATCGTCGTTATTTGGTAGAACCTGGAAAAATTTCAGTTGTTCAATTTGACACAATTTGTTGTATGCTTACTTTTAAAATTTCATAAATTTCTAAACTGACACTAATTAACTTTGAATTGAATCAAGTCTTACGGGGGAATCAAGTATTAATTGAATTAAACATTCAATTTTAGGAGTTAATAATCAGCAATGACTTTGCTAGGAAACATTTCAGATCTAGTAAAGAAAAGAAAAACCCAATTAATTCTGAAACCTAACAAAGGCAACCTTTTAAAAAAAATTCTTTTAAGGCTTTATTTAGATATTGCAACGAAAAGAATATGAAAAGAAGTAAATAATGAAGATTTCGAAAGCAGCGAGATTGAAAGGAGCATTAGAGATAGCTGATGCCTCATTCAACGAATTCTATATTAGACACCGAAAATAAAAAAACTAATTAATCCATCACCAGTTTCTTCTGCCATCTTCCCATCAGCTATTTTGGGCCATTTCAGAAAGCAAATGAAGCGTGAAAACATACAAGTAATGGAACACCACAAGAAGTCAACTGCTTGCATCACCTTTGAGGAAAACAAACTTCATAACTAGTCATCGCTCCATTCATTTGGCAGTTTGCTAATAGTTCAACACTCCATAAATAATAATTAAATTGCAGAATTTAACAGCCGCCTCTATTTTTTATTTTATTAATAAAAATATAAATTATAGTAATTTCAAAAACTGAATGTTACATTGGTTATCATTTTAAAGAAGGACAAGTCCAAAATTATGAGTATTTTTAACTATTTTGAAACATTCATCAATTGAACAGATTAGTGGAGGAGCAATTAATCGATTTAAGGAAATCAGCCTCGATTATCTCATCCTAGAGATAAAACATTTTTAAAATGCTGAGAGTTTTTTTAACAGAGTTCTGAGAGGTTTTTTGAACTGAGTGTCAAACTATAGATATGATTTGAAAAATTCATTGATTGGTGATCTAAGTGGGATAGCATGTAATCAATTTAAAAATGCTGAGAATCAAACTATAGATATAGTAATTTGAAAAATGCATTGATTGGTGATCTGGGTGGGATAGCATGTAATCATTTTAANTAAATTATAATAATTTCAAAAACTGAATGTTACATTGGTTATCATTTTAAAGAAGGACAAGTCCAAAATTATGAGTATTTTTAACTACTTTGAAACATTCATCAATTGAACAGATTAATGGAAGAGCAGTTAATCGATTTAATAAAATCAGCCTCGATTATCTCATCCTAGAGATAAAAATTTTTTAAAATGCTGAGAGTTTTTTTAACAGAGTTCTGAGAGGTTTTTGAACTGAGAGTCAAACTATAAATATAATTTGAAAGATTCATTGCATAGTAATCTACGTGGGATAGCATTTAATCAATTTTAAAATGCTGCGAGTTTTTAAACATAGTTGTGAAAGGTTTTTGAACTGAGTGTCAAACTATAGATATAATTTGAAAGATTCATTGATTGGTAATCTAAGTGGGATAGCATGTAATGAATTTAAAAATGCTGAGAGTTTTTTGAACTGAGAGTCAAACTATAGAAATTTGAAAAATTCATTGATTGGTGATCTAAGTGGGATAGCATGTAATCAATTTAAAAATGCTAAGAGTTTTTAAACATATTTCTGAGAGTTTTTTGAATTGAGAGTCAAACTATAGAAATTTGAAAAATTCATTAATTGGTGATCTAAGTGGGATAGCATGTAATCAATTTAAAAATGCTGAGAGACAAACAAACTATAGATATAGTAATTTGAAAAATTCATTGATTGGTGATCTAAGTGGGATAGCATGTAATCAATTTAAAAATGCTGAGAGTTTTTAAACATAGTACTGAGAGTGTTTTGAACTGAGAGTCAAACTATAGATATGATTTGAAAAATTCATTGATTGGAGATGTAAATGGGATAGCATTTAATCAATTTTAAAATGCTGAGAGTTTTTAAATATAGTTCTGACAGGGTTTTTGAACTGAGAGTCAAACTATAGATATGATTTGAAAAATTCATTGATTGGTGATGTAAATGGGATAACATTTAAACAATTTAAAAATGCTGAGAAATTTTAAACAGAGTTTTGAGAGTTTTTCGAACTGAGAGTCAAACTATAGATATGATTTGAAAAATTCATTGATTGGTGATCTAAGTGGAATAGCATTAAATCAACTTAAGAAAATCAGATATTGAATGCCTCAATTCCACATGTGATTTACTTATACTGACTAAATTTAATTAGGTGAACATTTTCAAAATGATGTGTATTTTCAAACCATTTTGAAACATTCATTAATTGAACAGATAAGTGGTAGAGCTTTTCGTGAATCTGAGAATCAGCTGCAGAATGTTTCAACTAAAAGAACTTTTATTTTACACTCAAAACATGGCTTATTTAAAGAAAGGTATAATAAACTATATTCCATACTTACAGTTGATTGAAGCAACTTATTAAATAGGGAAATCTGACTGCTTTGAAAATATCATTTAAAATATTCCTTCTTTAAGTTTCTCAAATAAGCTAACAATATTTTATGTAAAAATGTTAAACAATGTCATTAGTAATTAAAGTGTCAAAAGAATTATCAATTATATTCAGTTTTCAAACTGAAATCAATTAGATCTCAATTAGAAAAATAGTAAACTAGACTTAAACATGCAACGTATGTACATAATTTTATTTTATGACATAATTTAAAAACTATTATTAAAGCAGCAGATGGTCATTTAAATTCAACTTAGAGCAGATGCAATAATTAATATAGCTGAATTTCTAAATAGGTCATTCGGGATGCATTAGAATGCGTCTGTGTTCATTGTAATGCCTTTTAACATATGAATCATTTTTCTTTAGTAATAATAAAATAGATTGTTAGTTACTATGGATTAAAAAAAATTCATAAAATATAAGATTATACGAACATTAACATTAAACAGAACAAAAGAATTATAATTTAAAAGAAATAAAAAGAATGGATTTTCCCTAGAGCACTGCATATAAAACTTATTTAAAATTTCAACTAAAATGAATGATTTCAAAATAATTGATTTCCTATGCATGCATTCTCAACTCTTGTGTTAAATAGCTTGCAATTATTAATATGTAAATGCAATTTTTATTATTATAGTATTAACATGTTTATATATATATATGTTATTACATTATACATATTACGTTATACATATACATAATATATATATATATATATATATTATAAAGTAAACATGTAATATATATGTTTATATTATAATAAGTTTACATTATTATAGTATCAATATTTTTGCAATTATAAATATGTATTCCATCAGTTTAGAGCATAATAATACCTATATTACCTGATAAATTATTTGCATAAATGTTTTCAGAAACCAAACCTCTGATTAGAAATAAATTCTTATATTCATTAATTCAATCATTCTTAATGGTTGAGTTGTAAATTATTTTGTGTTGTAAATCTTATCAGGGGATTAGAGAATAACAAAATGTATTTGTAATGCATTGTTACCTTACAATTTCATGAAATGTCTTTGTAACCTAACAATAGTTCTGATAGTTTAATCTAATAATTGTCAAAGGTCAAAATGAATTTATAGAGAGGTATTTCTCTATTTAGAAAAAAAAAAGAAGAAATTGAGAAAACAAAGTAAGAAATAGCTACATAATACTATGTAGCTATATATCTATATATATTATACCAACTACTCAGCTTATTAAATTGTACAGTGAAGCAAAACCCAGTTATGAAATACTTATCTATAGGATATTGTGAATACATAATAATGATCAAAAAATAAACGCCATTCATGTTGATAGTCTAAGGAAAGTATGATTTTGAATTAAGAAAAGGAGCTTGGAAAGCAAGAAGCAAAAATGAGTCACTGATTTTTTTTTAAAAAAAGAGTAACTGAATGCTATTTTTTCTCTTTCAAATTCACGGTTTCAGTGATTTAGATGTAGAACAAATATTTCTGTTGTATGTTAAAAATATATACACATGTATGAACACATATCAAAATTATTTTTCATTTTCAACTCTACTTATAAAGTTTTTTTTATTATTATTCTTTTTGTTATCCGTGGCGGCCTTGCTACAAATTCTGTAGATAATCGGACTTGACTGAAACTGAAAGGTACAATGGAAAAACATTTGGACATTAAATGGAATGCACAGAAACAAAAAAGCTTTTTACAAAAAAAAATTTTTTTTAATTAAAATCACCTTTGTTTATAGTATGTTCATTACTTACAGCCCACTGTAACATACTGCCCAACAATGGTCAAGCTTCCTGGCCCATTTTGCAAGGCCCCAGGTTTTAATGACCCCGAATGCTATGTTTTAATGCTAATTTTAAGTTTTAATCCCTTTCATATGACGTGGAGAGTCTCTGAAGTAGGCAAACTTCTACACTACACCAACAAGAGAGAAAAAGTTTGTTAAAAGCTACTACATCAAATTTAAAGAACACCTTGCAGCGTAAGTAAGCCAGTTGTTTATTTAGCCGCTAGAATTGAACTCACAATCCCAAAATCTCTACCAGTGATGTGAGAAACACCCTAATCAGTAAAACCACCAGAATTGCAATGAAACGTAACATGTTTTTTTAGCCCAGACAATTGTCTGCTTTTAGAATATCCTTTAATTACTAAAAGACTAGAAGGAACTTTTTATAAAAAAAGTTTTTCTGCTGGACACAAAAACCACTTCCCCAGTCAAAAGCACAGGGAGATAAGCTTGAAAAGCAATTCCACTTTTACTGCTTTTAGAGACATAGAATTCATTCTAATTTTGTTAGAGACATAGAAACACAATATAAAAACAAAAATATAACCATACCAGATATATGTCTATCCTGAGAATAGTTATATCTCTGATAGGAGCCATCAGGATATCTCCTCACATCATCAGAGGGATGCCTAAACGATTCTTCAGCAACATCTTCTATAATCAAATGCCTTTGGTCTCTTAGAGCGGGCGTGCCTGGCCTATTTGCCTCATATATTAAATCACTACTATCTGCAGGATTAGATTCCTCAATTAGAGGAATCGTAAAGGGTGGATTGTAAAGATAGTGTTCCTGAGAGACATTTATCGGAGAAAAATCAGGATGAAAGTTCTTCAAGGAACTGTTCTGACTATGAATGTTGCCATCACGATAAAGTGATGAAGAACCAAGTCTTATGTTAGGTCGTTTTGGGGCCTAGAAAGAAAAAGAATACTTAGGATTCATTTTAATAAAATTATATTATAAATTTTTTTTATTTTTTAAGCATACATGTCACTGTTTCAACAGAAGAAGAACATATTAAATAACATTTTGTAGCACATTCATATTTCTGGATTTAAAGAAGTTTATGGTTCAAAATAAATAAAGAACATTATTATATTCAGTCAAGCTTTTAAAATAGGTCGTTTCAAATAGAAATAAGACATTCCGTGGGTGTTTATATTAATTTTAAGCTAATTTTCTCAAATGCATTAAGATGTTGTTTAATATGTTCTTACTGGTTCACTGATTATGAAAATTATTTAATTTAATATAAATGAAAACACAAGGATATAATATTAAACTTTTAATAATTATTTACTTTGCTTATAAAGTTTCCGACATAGAATTATCATAAAATATGTGTCAAATTAAAAAGTATTAACTACAATTTGATACAACACGAAGCATTTTCTTTGCTTAAATAGTTAGTCCATGAACATTTATTTTAAACTAATAATTGTATAAGACTGTAGGCTGATGAATTATGGATTGCTAAATAATTGACAGTGCTTCAAACCAAATATAATTTTTATAATTGCTTTAAGAAGTGCCAGATTATGGTTTATAAAAAGAACCAAGTTCTAGGATTCCAGGGGAGACCTAAATTTTATAATTTATGACAAACAATAAAAAAAAATTATTCAAACATTATTTTTAAACCGTCTTGAATGGTTGATTAACATAGTAAAATATAATAACAACAAAATGAATAATATAAATTTTTTAAATGAATGTATATGTTTAGGAGTACAAATTAATTTTTCAGTTATTTTAGGTTGAACAATTAGGTATATAAAATGCAGAAGAAACATTTCAATTTACCAATAGGTCATAGTAAACAGCAAAAACATTGAAGTGTAATGTTTAATAATAATAATTTTTACAGCAAAACTAACATATTACTATAGTTTTTAGATAAAAAAAATAATAATTAATTTGTACAATAAAACAAAAATATTTATTTACATATTTGTAACACAAACAGTAAAAAGTTTATTTTATAATAATAATTATAACAATCAGGGTTGGCAAGTTTTTGACACATGACGGTTTTTACCGGTTTATACTATGGTTTTTACTGTCATGTCAAAATACCCTCTGTCAAAACGTCAAAAACCCATAGTTTTGATAAAACTGTATTTTAATTTGAGTTTAACTGCTTATGATTTAAAATTAATTCATTTTTGGGCAATAAAATTAGAAAAAAAGAGTTGAAAGATATTTAAGAACAGATTTTTGCCCTTTTCCAACATGATTATATCAAATCATAGTATTTGAAGTAAAATATTAGGATACTCTGTAAAATTTTCAACATTTCCAAGCATCATTTTGTTTGGCATATTACCTTACTGAAGAATGTCAAGTCATTCCTGACTTAGACTTTGTTAGTAGTTACAAGTTTTGAAAGTTTTGTTTAGCTTATTTCTAATATTTAAGAAATGCCAAATTTTAAATTCTTCTTTTTAGTTCTTGAATTTATTAATAGTTCCAAGTTTTTTTGTTTGTTTGCTTATTTCTAACAATCAAGAAGCGCAAAATTTTGAATCCTTTGCAAATCAAGCTATAATGATAAAAGTTAAGTATCACTATTTTCAATAAGTATATTACAATATTTCTGTATGAATGTATATCCTTCTATAAGAATACATGTATATAGTTGTAAAATCAATAGCAATCATTTACAACATTCATTTATAAAGGCAATTAAGTTAACCGTTTTTTTGTTTGTTTGCTTATTTCTAACAATCAAGAAGCGCAAAATTTTGAATCCTTTGCAAATCAAGCTATAATGATAAAAGTTAAGTATCACTATTTTCAATAAGTATATTACAATATTTCTGTATGAATGTATATCCTTCTATAAGAATACATGTATATAGTTGTAAAATCAATAGCAATCATTTACAACATTCATTTATAAAGGCAATTAAGTTAACCGTTTTTTTGTTTGTTTGCTTATTTCTAACAATCAAGAAGCGCAAAATTTTGAATCCTTTGCAAATCAAGCTATAATGATAAAAGTTAAGTATCACTATTTTCAATAAGTATATTACAATATTTCTGTATGAATGTATATCCTTCTATAAGAATACATGTATATAGTTGTAAAATCAATAGCAATCATTTACAACATTCATTTATAAAGGCAATTAAGTGAAAATAATATATTGTCCGCTATATGCCATAAATTAAAAAAAACAGTAGGTTTTTGACGGTTTTTACCGGTAAAAACACAGCTTTTACCACTGTCATGTCAAAAACCAGTTTTTGACGGCAAAAACCCAACCCTGACAACAATTACTAGTTTGTTGCTTTTTTTCATCGATAATCCCTTTAGAACTTTTCTTTACAGCTAGTTAAAGTTACTTAAAAAAAACTCTCATTTTTAATCATAAAATCATTTAAAAATCTGACAAAAAAATTTATAATTCAAATTTTATCATTGATTTTTTCATCAAAATTTGAATGAAACAATCAATAATCTACTATAAAACTCTCAAATTGAGATTTATTTGAGACACAATAATGTATTTTACAATCACAATTCTTTTAAAATAAATTTGCTATTTATCCAGTTTATTATTAATGCAAATGAAGATTATAAAATATTATCTGGTTGTTACATTTTAATGTTGCATTATTTTTAATGCTGGCTTGGCGATAATTTCATTGGTCAAAATATATTATCATTTCTAAGGAATAAAATTAAAATAGAAAAATATTATAAATACAAACCTGAGTAGAAGAAACAGAATTTTCAAGATCAATTTTTTCATCTTGGCATTCTCCAAAATCGGCCATACTATATTTGCCTAGAACAATTGATTAAATAATTTATTATAAAAATTAATTTATAATAAATGGTTTTAATACTAAATATGACCACAGTAGATGTAGAACAAAATGCAACAAACAGTTGACAAACTGTCATTAATACAGTATTACTGACAAACAGATAAAGAAACAATATTGAATATGATGGGATTGATTGCAAATTTTTAACCTCTATATTGCTGCAAAATTTGCCTGCTATATTTTAGTCCAAAATACTAATATTTTATTCAGAACATATATTACAGAGATAGATTTGTATAAAAATGACCACACCTTTTTGTTTGATTGAATTAAATAAATTATTATGCAATAAAATTTCATTCATTTTTACTTGATCATTAATTTACTACATCTGAAATGCATAATGCAACAAACAGTTCTGAAATTGTCAGAAAATAATAATATACTGTTAAGCTTTTAACAAAAGAAAGATAAATGTTTCAGAATATTGGCATTTTTGGAAAAATTAATAAAATTTGACATGAATATTTATTCTTTATTGATGTTTCTCTTATTATATGTAGAGACTTGATAAATTCAAGAGGCTGATTATTATTTTAGGAAATTAGTATTAATGGCTTAAAAAATTGCAAAAAAAAAATGCATAAAAAAACCGTTTGTAATTTTGAACGATTTTTAATTAAATACGATTTTTAATTAACATTAAATTAAATTCACATTAAGACACAGTTTTATAAAACTTATCAACATGTGCAAAATTGTGCGTTGTCAAATTAATATAACAACCCGGTTAGTTACATAAATATATATGCATCGCATGAGTTAAAAAATAAATATAATATCAGATAAGAATATATCTGTAAGTACAACAAAGTAAAAACTTCGGATGATAGTACAAATACAAATATGTACATAAAAACAAGAAGATAATAAGCAACACAAAGTATTATATTAATTGTAATAGGTTACCTTAGATGTCTGAAAGTAAAACTAATTAATTTACATTTGCTTTGTGCAAAATATTTTTGAAGTAATAAAATTAAAACATATTTAAATTTTTCTTTCATTACACGAACACAGCAACAATCACTGAGGTATATATATTTCTAATACAAAAATATACAAATAATAAATATAAATCATAGATATAAATGAAATATCATCAGCTCTAATTTTCCACTATATTTTATGTCATTTAATTATTTACAAGCATTTTTATTACTACAAAGAGATTAAGTTCCGCTGACAACATCAATCAATAGAAAAGGAAAAATAAAACACATGGGTAGATTATGTATGACTCACCATAGAAATATTAAATCCAAGATCATAATAAGGACAACAAACTCGCTTCAAATACCTTAGTTAATAAATTAAGGCAACAATGGCTTTTACTGACATAACAAACATTCATAGTTCACACCTAATCCTAAAGATCTTCGGCAAATATCCAATTTTCTCCCAAAATAAAAATAAATATAATTTTTTATTAACAGAGTGCGTCAAACCGAAACTAGTGGAATGGATTATGCTACCATCTATTGAGTAAAATAAGAACAAGAGTTTTCACGTAATCTTTTTTTCTCCATATAATTTTTTTTTATATATTTTCTTTTACATATAAAAATGTATTATTAATAGTTAGAAATATCTCAATGATAAAGTAAATTCAATTTTTAAAAATTAAATTAGTTAATTTTATTATTGTGAAAGATAAATAAAAATTATTAAACAAGAAAAGACGAAACAAAAAATATATTTATTTAGAACTTTTCTTTAAATGTTATAACTTGAAGCGTAAGGAATTAAAATACGATAATGCAATGCACTTGCAAAGTCATGTATTGAAGAGAATGCAATACACTTATAAAACTCAAGTGCAATAATACAAAACTAATAAAAAAATATACTTTTATCTTTAAAAAAAATACATTCAGAAAATATATTTAATGGAAAATTTTAAAGATTCATGATATTTTTTAACAGCACAGTATCAAATTTGTCCAATTGGAATAAGTAAGGTGTATTTTAAAACTGTAACAAGTTTTTTTTTAAAGTACTATAAATACTGTTCTCTGGTTTGATAGCATATGCATATCTTTATTAGTTTTGTAAATGAAAACTCTAAGCTGACTGCGACTATCAATCTCTAACAGCGAAATGTAAAAAAATTTGTCTACAATCAATATTTAATTACGAACAGCGCAAGTTCATTAACTTGAAGTCACCGAAATGTAAAACTTAAATCTGACCATACTATCGAATGCATTTGTAGTGCTGCCATCTATATCGTTATTTTAAAACTTTTATATCAGTTGAAATGTGTTTGATAAGTGGTCCCTTATGGAAAAATTATTTAGATTCTAACAAGGAGAACAATAGGACGTAATGAATAATTGAATCTAACTCGAGTTTCAAATTTCGGAGTAAAAATGCAATGGATATGAATTGGAGCAGATCTTGACCCACTAAAGTTGTGGGATCTTCAATTTTTAACAATAACTTTAAATTAATTGTTTACAACAATTTTTAAAGATAATAATTGATGATCAATAATTTGTGTGCAAGCAACTACATATTGTATGCATACAATTGTAGCCCTTCATCTGGGGCGTTCGGAGAGGAACTCTGTTGTCCGAAATATTTAGTTGATTACTGTTAAAAAAAATTTATTAAATAGTTGAAAGGCAAGCTTTGAGTTTAAATTTTAAATGAGATTATTTTTCTTAATTCTGTTTCACCTATTTTGCGAACTGGTAAGCAAAAAAACCAATCGAAGAACAAGAATAAATAATAATGTTCAAGGCGTAAGAGAAAAAGGGGCTCATAACATGGAGCTGAATCTCTCTCGATTTGAATTACGACAATATTTAAATAACATCAACTATTATAAATGTGAACTTCCGAAAATAACGTTTATTAATCTGTGGCAAAACAGCTCTGTATCTCGTATATTTTTATTTATTTATTTTTGTGCTTTCGTGGCATCAAGGAAATATATCGCAAATTCATGATAGATAGTTTTTTGTTAATATATTTTATTAAAATACAGTAGGGCGCCGATTATCCGAACTGTTCGAGTTGTTTAAAATCTAGTATAAATGATTATTATTTATGCATTAACTTCCCTTCTCACTTTTTCCTGGCTTAGGACTGGCAGTACTATCTAAAATAGCTCTGGCGTGTTTAAAAATTTTTTTTTTCAATTTTTAAATATTTTTTTATTTATTTTTTAAAACTTTTTTTTCTTATTTTGAATTTCTTTATCATATTTCAGCTTTTCATAATAATTTTTTTTTTTTGACAATTACTGATTTTACCACATTTTTCTTTATTTTCCATTGTAAAAGAAATCCAGCAAAGACCTTTGTTTCAAAGAAGATGCTCTTTTTTAGCTGCCATATCACTTATTCTTTTTAAATAAATCAACTGATTTGGATCAATTTTGGATTTTTGACGTTCTAGACTGTCAAAATGAAGTTCGCATTCTCGGAAGATAATTTTCAGTTGAAGAGGGCTAAAGAAGTGTGTAGGTTTAACTATATAACAATACATGTATGAATGGCTACTATAAGAAAACTGCTAAAAAGGGTTGTAAATTAAATATGGTCATCAAATGTAGTGAACATTATTTATTCTTCTAAATTTAGAAAAATTGTCGATCAGTTAAAAATTAATCTAAACTTAAAAAAAAAAAAAAAAAAAAAAAAAAAAAAAAAAAAAANAAATACAGTAGGGCGCCGATTATCCGAACTGTTCGAGTTGTTTAAAATCTAGTATAAATGATTATTATTTATGCATTAACTTCCCTTCTCACTTTTTCCTGGCTTAGGACTGGCAGTACTATCTAAAATAGCTCTGGCGTGTTTAAAATTTTTTTTTTTCAATTTTTAAATATTTTTTTATTTATTTTTTAAAACTTTTTTTTCTTATTTTGAATTTCTTTATCATATTTCAGCTTTTCATAATAATTTTTTTTTTTGTCAATTACTGATTTTACCACATTTTTCTTTATTTTCCATTGCAAAAGAAATCCAGCAAAGACTTTTGTTTCAAAGAAGATGCTCTTTTTTGAGCTGCCATATTCCTTATTCTTTTTTAATAAATCAACTGATTTGGATCAACATCATTTTGACGTTCTAGACTGTCAAAATGAAGTTCGCATTCTCGGAAGATAATTTTCAGTTGAAGAGGGCTAAAGGAGTATGTAGGTTTAACTATATAACAATACATGTATGTATGGCTACTATAAGAAAACTGCTAAAAAAGGTTGTAAATTAAATATGGTCATCAAATGTAGTGAACATTATTTATTCTTCTAAATTTAGAAAAATTGTCGATCAGTTAAAAAGTATTCTAAACTTGAAAAAAAAAACGAGTTCGGATAATTAGACGTTCGGATAACAAGGGTTCGGATAATCGCGCTCTACTGTATTTTATTATAATATGCAATAGCAATTACTTAGGGAAAAACAATTGTTAATGCATCAATGAATTTTTGAAGAAAGAAAAAAACAAATTTAGCATCATTTTTTTGGCAAACCATGATATTTTTTTTTATTCTCCTTTAAAAAATTAATAAAGAACTAACATTGGCTAAGCTATCTAAACTGTCCATTTTTGGCCAAGTAAAAGTTTACCCTACCAATCATAAAAAAAGATTTCCCTTTAAAAAAAAAAATTTTTTTTTTCAAGTATAGCATTGCAAAACAGATACAATATTTGCAGCAGTATTTAGGAAAATTACGAATTCATTATTATTTCATTACATCGAATTAATGTCTAACAAAATTCTAAATTTAAAAAAAAATGAAAGAAAGAAAATTTGAATCCTAGAAATATTTTTAAACTTATATTTGATGCATTTATGACCTCCAAACTAATAGAATATTGTTGCAATTCTTGGATAATAGGTGATTAATGATATCGAAAATTTATATGCCACAAATTACTGTGCAAAAAAATGTGGATTCAGGAAATATTTTTTTTAACAAAATGTTACATTTTATTCTTTTAATTATAAATAAATATAAACAACTTTCCTTCAGCACTTTTTTGTTTGTTTTAATATATACAATTATTTGATTTCGAATCAACGATTGAACAACATACAACTTGAACCTAAATTATTAAAAAAAAATTTAAAAAATTTATGCTTTTAAAAAGAAGTTTTCATTCCATTATTTAAACCAACTGTATCACACATTAAAATAAGTTAGCCACGTTGCATTTATCAATAAAAATTATGTATCCACAAAGCTGTTTAATTTTTTTTCCCTTGTTGGTTATTAAATTGATTTCAAATAACTATTAATACCATTTTTAGTTTATCCTTGTCCACAGGATATCTTTTCATGGATAACTCAGTTGTTTTCCGCAACTAGTCATATTCAGCTGTCTAAGATGAAGTTATAACCATGAAAGTTTTTGCCGTCTAAATACTTCTATAACTATTTATAAGCTGATTAACTCGAGGTTTTCTCAAATTGCCATGACAATTATTGCGTCAGATGAAAAACGCATTAACGATAATCCGGAACTGACGATACGTAATTAAATATGCGGTTTTCATAGATTTTACTGGGTTTTAGCTTAAATCTTGCCATCTATTTCCTTTCAGTATTTAGGAAAATATAATTCATCTTTTAAACTGCTACAAAATAGCATGTTTAGACTTAAATTATTTGAGTTTTATTGGATTTTCAAGAATTATGTCTAAAGTTATAACAAAGTTTGAAAGCATTTATTTTTTTTTTAAGAGAGGTAGGAAACTGTACCTTATGGAGTTGGAAAAAAGACATAAATAAAAATTCCAGCAAACGATAGCTAACACAATCTGTTTCTAATTTTTAATTTAATAAAACACACAAAAAAATATTTTATTAATTTCTTCGTTTTCTCGCCTTTTTTGCTATTGATTTCTACAACGACTTTCATTCCCTAGAACACCATATTAATACAAATTTTACGAATTCAAAAAGAACAGAGAATTCGCTTTCCAATGAGGTGCCCAGGTCCGAGTCCCAGCGATGGCTGGTTGAAACGAATTCTGCTCCCGGCTTGCAATGACCGTAGTGCTGACATGAAATAACCTCAGTGGTAGACGGATCATAAATTAGAATCCCCTAGCCGTAAGGCTAGCCGTGGGAGGTTAACGTGGTTTTCCTCTCCGTGTTATGTAAATGGGCGTTAGTTCCGTTGCTTGCCTCCACGGAGGCTTGTCTGCTTTTTTACGATGTATTTTGGGTAAAAACTAATGAGCTTGAAATGAATGGGGCGTGTAGAAAATTGTTAAATACGATGGAATACAAAAAAGTGACATTTCATAATAAGTCTGAGAACTGTTAAATACGATGGAATACAAAAAAAAAATGACATTTCATAACAAGTCTGAGAGCTGTTAAATACGATGAAATACAAAAAAAATGACATTTCATAATAAGTCTGAGAACTGTTAAATACGATGGAATACAAAAAAAGTTACATTTCATAATAAGTCTGAGAACTGTTAAATACGATGGAATACAAAAAAAGTGACAGAGAGGNCAAAAAAAGTGACATTTCATAATAAGTCTGAGAATTGTTAAATACGATGTAATACAAAAAAAGTGACATTTCATAATAAGTCTGAGAACTGTAAAAAAAGATGGAATACAAAAAAAGTGACATTTCATAATAAGTCTGAGAATTGTTAAATACGATGGAATGCTAAAAAAGTGACATTTCATAATAAGTCTGAGAACTGTTAAATACGATGGAATACAAAAAAAGTGACATTTCATAATAAGTCTGAGAATTGTTAAATACGATGTAATACAAAAAAAATGACATTTCATAAGTCTGAGAACTGTTAAACCGTACGAGCTACTCTGTGCCAAAAATTACCATGCCATATACAATACGAGCCTCTCTGCAGTCCGTAAAAAGGCAACTACTGAGTTAAAAATTTAACGAGTTGAAATTACCATTTTTGATTTTTGAACTTATCGCTTTTTTTTCTAAATTCGAATTTGTTCGAAAGTTATTGCAATTTTAAGTGCCTTCTAATGAGTTTTTTTTTTATCAATTTTTGTTTTAAATAATGACTTTTTATTCATCGTTGTTTGACATTTTATTTATCTTTCTCAAAAACTTTACTTTATAAGAGTGAGAGGAAATTAGCAAAAAGAGAAAAGTGTTTCCAAACTTTGAACGACTTCGATAGTCAGATCAAGTATCGTCTTCTAAAGAAAAATAATGATAAATTAGAAAAAATCACAGTGGTTGGCGGGCGGAGCCTCTTAGTAACTTTAAAAAATATATATTAGAATATAATAACTTCTAAATCAAAACTAAAAGTTTAAAATTGAGTACTTGCACTTCAAGATGAAGAAGATCTCTTATACCCACACATGAGACTTATGACGTCAGCTGATGATTTATAAGCAAATGGCGTGTTAAAATTGATCTAAGTTTTCCACATAAATTNTAGAAAGTGCCACTTAAGAGAATTGATACTTGACGGGGTTTGCCTTACGTGAAATAGAATGGAAAGAACAGTTGCTAACGTAAACAAAAGCCACGTTTCAACAACCAATCAGGATCGAGATATCCATACTACGTCACTTGCAGGTATCCCATTCAGAAACAAATAAATATGAGTTAAAAAGAGCTGTCTTTACTCGGTAATTTCTTGACCTCTCTTAATATGTATTGTTTAAATCTATGTCAAAATTGAACTCAAAAACGTGTCACAAACTTACTTTCAAACGAGGAGAAAACAAAAACGTAATCAAAATGAAGAAGACGGAATGAAAATAATTGTATGAAGAATCTAGAAGGTGTTTCCAAAGAGTGCATCTAACATCCTTTCTATTTGCCAAGGCAATTAAACAGTTTTTCATGATTTTTGTTTTACCTTCCTCTGTAGTAATTCGTTAGATTTCAATGGCGTTTTGTTTTTCCTTCCATTAAAAACTAATTTCTGACACCCAAATAACTTTATTATTTCATTAGCTTCATCTTTGACTTAAAGTCATAATTTATTTATTAAAAGCATTATTACGAAAAATCCTGCATTATTGATTGGTGAAAGAAAATTAAGTTTTCTGTATCTTTAAAATGTTCTCTATTTTTTTTAAATAAAATAAAACATACGTTAATGAGCCTCAAGTATCTGGTTCTGGGTATTAGAGACCTTCTATACTGTAAAAAATTCCAATTCTAAATTTTGCTTAAAAATACTGGCACCCTGTGTGCATTATCCATAAAATCCTGCATACTGTAAAATCCGTTTTTACAACAAAAAAAATTATATCGTAATTTTTACACTAATATTTATTTAATTATAATAATTTCGCAATAAATATTACTGATTACTGTGAAAATTGCAATACATCATTTTCGCTCCGTAAACTTTTATCGTAATTTGTAATAATTTTTTACAGTTTATTACACTTTTTCATTTGAGGTGCACCAGCTTTAAGTTGTACAAGGAAGTCTAAGAAATGAACTTAAATTTAATTTAAAATTACTCGACTACGAAATATTTGGGAGAGTCTGGTTGGTAGGGCGCTGGACCCATGTCCAAGAGGTGGTGAGTTCAATCCCAGCCGATCGAAGAATCTCCGTTTGTATAATGTTGACTGGTGCAAGTTAAACCTATCGGAGTCTCTATGTCCTCCAAATTCCTACAACAAATCAATACCTCTAAAGCAGTGTTTCTCAACGGGGGCGTTGGGAGTATGCTGAGGGGCGGTGGACATGTTTTGGGCGGCAGGGGGGCGTTAGGTATGTTTTGGGCGATGAGCATGTTATGTTATTCAAATTTAATTTTAATACTCCTAAATAAAATTAAGAATCATTTAGTAAATAAAATTAATCTAAAATCAATGATAAAGAAAACAAAGATTAAATTAATATAATAAATTTAGATTATCTGATACAACATTAGTACCAGCAGTAAAACGAACTTATGCAATACATATTCTCCGACCCGAATCAGCACAGCGCATAGGCAATTACTGTAAATATCTCTGTTCAAGTTTGTATTTTCTCTAATCATGGTAATATTATTGTAGAGCTACCACAACGACTGCTTATATTCAAAATGTTTTTAGCTCATTGTTGTAATTTCATGATGAATGGGATAGGGGCCGCTGCGCGGCCCAGGTGCCCAGTTGTTTTTAAATAAAGTAAGTAAGTAAGCACAGCGCAGCGCATGAGTCAGTAGTTTTTGCCTCTGACTCATTTCTGCCATTTGGTGAGAATTAAAGTGCATGCGCTTTTTGTAAAAATGTTCGATTTGACCCGTGTTTCTTATGATGGTTTAGTTTGCTTCCTAGCAGTTTTTTACCCAGTTTCGATTCGATTTCATTGTTTATTTGGCCAGGTACGTTTGTGAATTAGTTCTTAATCGTAAATTATTTATTAATTTGAAAAAACAGTTGATTTTCTTTCATTCGTATTTTGCTGCCACCAACAATGTCGGTTAACATAAAGAAGTGTATTCAATACAGTGTCACGTACTTGAAGTTTAGATTTGTTCAATCGCCCTCGAACTCTCAACTACCCATGAATTTATTTTATAACAAAGTTTAATATAATGAGACAATGGAGCCTTCTCGTTAGCAGAAGCATTTGCAAAATATTCATCCTCACAAACAAAATAAAGATTTGTCATTTTTCACGAATATCAAAGACAAGTTTCTGAAGGCACCTTTGGCCTCAGGCTTACTGACAACCTAATCACAAAAATGCGATGATGGTTTGATAAGTTCTTATAATATATCAAAATTAATTGCTAAATCTGGGAAATGTCATACCATCGGCAAAGAATTGGTACTGTCGGCTGTTAAGGAACAGTTTTACACTATCCAGCCTCATCCGATTTAATCAAAAATATCCCTTGCAATAGTGGGTCGACATGGTGGGTTTTTCGCCGTTTTGAAGAGGGTTGTACCAGATATTTTAGCAGTTCACTGCGTGATTCACAGACAGTATTTAATAAGAAAAAACCTCAGCGACCGTTTGCATCAGTCATTGCAGTATGTTATATCTGCTGCGAACAAAATTCGCAGTAATGTTCTCAATGATTGATTACTCAGACAGCTGTCTTAAGAAAAACTATGAAGAATATCGCTTGCTACTACACCCTGATTCGCTGGCTTTCCAAAGGAGCCTTGTCTCAATAGGTTCTTGAATCTTTTCGACTCTGTGCTTGAGTTCCTCGAAGACAGAATGTAGTTCTGAGAGACAGATTGCTAGAATTTAAGATAGACGTTGGTAGATTTACTTGCAAAATTAAATGGTGTTAATTTGCAACTTCAAGGTGACAAACTCAATTTGATCCCTACGAAATCAGTTATTTCTACATTTCAAAAAAAACTTATTTTTTGGTAGCAGAAATTTGGTTGGAATGAGTTCAACCAATTTCAAATCTTATCGTATCTTGAAAAGAATGGCGAAATTTCCTCTGATGTTCCTCCCAAGAATATAGTTAACATCTTGACTCTTTGCACATGGACTTTTCTGACCGTTATAAATATGTTTTGTTCTGTTTCCTTCAATGGGTTATTAACCCTTTTTTTGAATATTGAAACAGAAGAGATTCAGGAGGAATCGGTCAAACTTTCAACTAATGAAGCTTTGAAATGGTGATAACTCACAGAATTTTGCATTCAAGGTAACATCAGTTGCCTCTACTCTGGACTGTCAAAATTCATTATTATTTTCAAAATTATTTTCAATTTCCTTCCCTTTCTCTTACTTCGTCGAACGTGGATTCAGTGCTGTTATGGATCAAGTCACAAAAAAAGAGAAATAGACACGAAATGATGCAACGAGGGGACTTGCGTCTTCACCTCAGCAAAAATATTGAGCCGAACGTTAAGAAATTGGTTATGAACCATCAAGTACAATCATTCCACTGACATAGTGACTTGATTGTTTCGTTGATACTACTTTTATTTTTGGGTGTTTTTTTAATTATCTAATTAAGAACAGGGGACTCTTTTTAAGCATAGTTTTCTTTTTTGTACTATTTTTTTTCATTACCGTATTTATTTTTATTATGACAAATAGACTGTGATTACCTGCCTTGAGAAAATTATCGAGTTAACGTACACATTAAATTTTTTTAAAAAAAAACAAGCAAATTTAACGTTTGAAAAATTGCCTAAAAATGCATCTTATAATTCAGCGCATCCCCTCCGTCCTCATGCTCTAAATAACTGGATTATCACAAAGGGGGGCGTTGATATGTTTTTTGCTTATTAAGGGGGCGGCAACGTTAAAATTGTTGAGAATCTATGCTCTAAAGGTACTGAATCGGAGATTGATAGTTCTCTGGTTCAGGTCAAAATTACGATCTGCAGATGGATGGATGGTGTGTGAATGTGTCTTCCCTGTAAAACGGGCTGTGGTGTATACGAGTGGCAGAAGTCGAATTCCTAACCATAGATAGTTACTCTGGAAAACAAGACAGCAACAACAAGAAGAAACATTTATTCTCAGCAAATGATCAAAATAATATTTTTTTCACATTTTGATAAATAGTAAACAATGAGATTATAATATATTCAAAAATAATTCAAGCAATTTTGTTTCCACTTAAATGTGGAATTTATTACAAGAGTATATCAATGTTTTTACCACAATTAATCTACAAACAAAACCTAATACTGCAAAACATGTTGTTAAATTAATCACAGGTTAACATTAAATAAGTAACGTCACACAATAGTTGAGCTTAAGCTTCGTTGAAGTCTGATTTCGCAGGCTGTTTTAATGTCGGAAATTTCATTCAGGAATTTCTCCTTCAGTGTCAACTCTCTCTTCTCGTTTCTCACTCTTTCTAAGGTAGAAACGGGTTGATCATCTAAATGTTGCAAGTGTTCGAAATGGCTAACGACGAAATTCCTGAAAAAAGAATACACAAAGTTAAAATTTGGTCAATTTTTATCAGAATACTACCTAAACTTCCTAAAAATAAAATAACAGTTAAAAAAAGTTCTTCATAAAAAAAATTTAAAAAAAAAACCAGACGGGAAAATTTATAATTCGTTTTATTTAATAAATTAATAATTAAATTACTCACTTTTAGTATGCTTATAACTAAGTATCAATGCGACAAAAAAAATTTTTTTAATGAATAATTTAGGGGGAATTTTACAAGGTGTTCCAAAATCACATTCCTTTTTATGTATTTTGAAATCCACCTCAAAACTGAAATCGAAAAAAAAAATCTAAATTCGGAATCTCAAATTAATATTTCTGGCGAAAACCTGTTGAGGTTGCCGGGATTAAAAATATCAAAACCAGTTTGATTGCTGGTGAAATTTGAAGGTGCTTGGAATAATCGTTTTTCCACTCATCCTTGTCCCCCTCAGGCAATCAAACAAGTTTCGATGTTTTCAGTATAGTCTTCCTCAGTAGTGACTCATTAGATTTTGATATCGCTTTCGTTTTTCACTCGCTCAAATTTTAATTTGCGACCTTAAATGCTCTAACTTTTTTAATTTCAATTTTAACAATGATTCTAAAAATATATACCAAAAGTAATTGTTAAAAAGCACCTTGCTTGCATATTATTGTATTTTACAGTGTACAAAACAAAAGATGAACATTCCCTTCTGGTCTATTGATAAGGTTTTCACATACTACTAACATGTAGTTGTAACAGTAATGGTTATGTAATTTTAACGGTAATAGTTTGATATCTTCGAATCGGTAAGATTAAAGTAATCACTAATTACAATCCGCAAAGCTAAACGCAAAATCGACTAAGTGAATTTTAACTCTTTATATTTCTTTTTCATACATTTTCCTTAACATCCTCGTCAACATATAATAACTAAATTTAATTTACATAGTTAGAATGCATTCACCACACTTTTTAAACAGCTCTTCCTAACAAAAATTGTAATCCAAAACTTTTTTGACTATAATAGGCAGGATAAATCTACCACAGTTATACTCTTCCCAATCTTTTTAACCAGTTTTAAGAATATATCGAAGATCTAAAAATAGTTTCAACTGGATAAAATCCTTTTTCATCTGGTCTTGATGACTTAAATCCATCTCTTAGAAAATATCATCAACTGAAGTGAAGTTGAAGATGTCTCTTGAATTGGAGTAGTTGATGACAAAAACAAGAACATGGTTTAAGTGTGCTTCAAATAAAAATGGCAGTTCTGCTCGAAGGAGATGATCTTTTAAGATAACATATTCTTTCTATGAAGCACATGTACTTAAAGAGTTTATATCTTGTCTAATGAAGTAGGAAAAGATTAATTAAATTGTTGTTAATACCAATATATAAAATACTATGGGATTCCCCTCTAATTCGCTGAGCTTGATTTCTTATGAGGTATTTCAAAAAATCGCATCAGCAGAAATCATTATGTTCTGTAGCAATCACGGCAAGCTTTTAATTATTTGCTATTAAATTAAATCACGAGAGGAAAAAATATTTTTTTTAAATTTATTAAAATTTATTCAAAAAATATATAATTAACTAAAATTGACGCCCGGTGGCTGAGCGGTAGGGCTTGGCGCTGTCGTGCCACAGGTCCCTGGTTCGATCCTCGGGCCGGGCAAGGTTGACTCAGCCTTTCATTCCTTCAGTGGGTCGATAAATGAGTACCAAGCATGCTTGGGAACTAAACACTGGGGGTTCCGCGTTCGGCTGACCACCTGACCGGAACATCTGTTCCTGCACCCCAGAGCCCAAAGGTCAAGAAAACTGAGATGGGCACAGTAGGCCTTGGCCCTCTACGGGCTGTCGCTCCGCTGAGTTTAGTTTAATGACATAAAATTATAAATTTTTTATCATTGAAATCATACAATTTTTACTAAATTTAATATATCTATGATGATAAGCACAAAACCTAAAAGTATGTTCGCTCCGTTTCAAAAAAGGCAGAATTAAATTCTGTCAAAATATGTTTAGTAGGGCTGGGCAAGAAAGTATTTAAAAGTATGATATAATTGCATGATTCCACCCCTTTTTTAATGAAAGTTTAAGGGAGTAGCCTGGTTGGCAGGGTGTTGGACTCTCGTTCGTGAGAACGGGAGTTCGAATCCAGCTAGCCGAAGACTTCCCGTGTAGTAAATGGTGACTGGTGCACGTTAAATCTGTCGGGTCTGAAAGTCCTCCATGTATTGTCCCGTAACAAATTATACCTCTGGGGGTACTGAATTGGAACTATGAAGAAAAAGCGATGGAAACAAAAAGTTAACGGCGTGAACCCAAGTTCATGAATTAATGTTCATCTGAGAAAAATAGTCCAGGAATGAGGTAGCAAAATCGCCCTATAGTGGGAGGTTTATTGTGAGAATTGGCCACATTTGACAGCAATTCAAATCTTACATCAAATTCTCACGCTGTTTACGCGGTTGCTTATAAAGTCTTGGAAAAATAAATCTTTCTGCATTAAGGCAGTGTCATTGAAGCAGTTTTTAACCATGGGAGGCTTCTGAGAGGGAAAGGTAGAGAATACCAGGCATATCTATAATATTCAAGTCGGAGGGTCTTTTGACGACTCTATTCCTTGAATGTCTTCCGTTTTAATGTATTTCACCGCTTCAGTCGGATGTGATTGCGTGATTTCTTCCACAAAAGTGAACTGGAGACTGCTCCTGAACTAGGGCTATCAAAGATCTCAGTCCTATGTCTCGGAGAAGTTAAAAATATCTCCCTGATTGTGGCAAACCCAACAAGACATCTGTCCAGACCATAACACTTTGACCTCTATAGTGGCCTACTTTCTTGATGCAGAAGAGTGGATGCCGAATTCCTGATTCTGTCTCCACACGTCGAGAATTCAGTGAACAGAATTAATTGGTACTCATCAGTGAAGAAAACAAGCACCAATTGCACCTGTGTCCATAAAGTTCACGTGGCCTGCAATTTAGATGGGCTCTCCTGTCATTTGGAGAGTCAGGAAGATACTTTGTCTTCTCTGACAACTCCCAGAGCTGATATTTTTGGGCATTTTGATAAATTGCTCTGAGTTATGTAAGTCCCCAGTTCATATTTATGAATGATAACACGTGTACACACAGGGCTAAGTTCAGCGAGAATTACCTTGAAACCGAAAATATTTAGAGAATGAAGTGCTCAGCCAGATCTCCAAATTTGAATTTCACAGATCATGTCTGAGATGCTCTTGGTAGAGCATTTGCAGCTCGCGACACTCTCCCAGAAACTTCCCAACGCTTAAAGCTGTTTAAATAGAGCTGCCTTGAGAGGATCTGATTCCAAGACTTTAAACCCTTTCGTAAAAAGCATACGAGTTCATTGTTAGACCTTCATTGTAAGGTGGTTTTGCTCTGTTTTACATTTTCCACAAGTGCATCATCATTTTAGAACTATTTTGCTGTGATGCATAGTGATTTGTGGCCATGAATATCGGTAACGTTTATAATATTGCCCTGTTGCTGTTGTTTTTTCTTTTAAAGTTCCACAAGTGCATCATCAGTTTCAAAACTATTTCGTTGTGATGCATATTAATTCATGGTCATGAATTCATAACAGTAACGTTTATTTATCTTGCCCTGTTTTTTTAAACCTTCTACAAGAGCATCATCATTTTAGAACTATTTTGTTGTGGTGTCTTTAAATTCACGGTCATAGATTCATGCCGGTAATGTTTGTTTAACATCATTATTGTTCAGCTTCTTATTAGATGATAGAAAATAACATTTTTTTTTTAATAGCAGTTTACTATACTACGACTATAAACTTCAAAGCCCGTGGAAATTCTTAACTTTAATTTAAAATCTTCATCAGAAATCTAATTGCAAATTTCAAGTTCTGATTTTGGATATCAAGGAAGAACTATCTCCTGAATGAGAGTAAATAAATAGAAAGCATTTAACATCCATACATTTCATCTAGGCCGGGATATAGTCTGGTTGGTAGGACATTGGGCCCGTGTCCAAGAGATTGTGAGTTGGATCACCGCTGGCCGAAGACTCCCCGAGTAGTAAATGGTGACTGCACGTTAAAACAGCGGGATCACAAAGTTCTCCACGCTTCCATAACAAATCGTACCTCTGGGGGTACTGAATTGGAGATTAGTCGTTCTCTGGCTCAGGTAAAAATTACGATCTGTGGATGAATGAACGTAAGAATGGGTCCGTTCTATAAACTGGCCGTAATGTGTGTTTGGCTGAAGTCATATTATTGGCATTAGATGGCGGCACTGAAGAACAAGGAACGCAACCTCTGCCATAAGCTCCCATGGTTTTACCAAACAGGTTTGCAGGTTGGCAAGTAGCATTAGAAACAACAAGAACACATTTAATCTAAATGTCTATTTAAGCTTGTTTTTACTTATATGTTATAACAAAACGTATGTAAAAATATGGAGCTTTTAAGCTTACATTAAAAACAAAAAGCAACTAAATTGTAACAGCATTGAATTCATTGTAACAATTGAATAACCTGACAGTTTCGCATGTAAGCACAAAAGTAACAGTTTTTTTAAACAAATGATTCAACCAATAAATGTAAGCATAGTTAGTATACTCTTAAATATAAAATATGTTTGAAAACTTATCATAGACACATCATATTACTACATTATTATTTTTGTTAGAAACAAAACTTATGTTTCGTACCAAATTAAATTTTACTATTTTAAAAATATATAAAATCCGATAATATATTTTATTCATGAGATTTCACGCATCTTATTTTCGTTTAAAAATAATTAAAAGCAATGAGGAAATGAGATTTTTTTAAAAAAATTTTTTAGACTCGAGCTTCAAATCAGATTAAATGTCCAAATGATGAAAAAAAAAATCACAATATTTCTAAATAATGTGACCTTCATTATGTTTTATTTTGAATAAATAGTTATCGCACAACTATTTAATGCTAATTAATTTTTTTTATCAACAAAAAGTTCAAT